CATCCGATATTGTTGATACGTTGCAGGTATGCTCCGTTATTTCTCACCTGAGAATGAATTTTCTCGTGAATTTTTTATTTTGTGTAGAACTTACCTTCACAATTGATCATTTTTTATAATTTCTTTCTGGGATGCAGGAGAAAGGTATCAACATGCTCTTTGTGTTGGGCGGTAACGGCACTCATGCGGGTGCTAACGCCATCCATGAAGAGGTGAGAGTCACGTTGGGTTTTCCAAATTAGTTTCTTATTATTTCATTAGTCACCATCAACTTATGAGATCCTGGGAACGCTGGAAATTAATGAAGTTCAGAGTGGCTAAATCTTCGAGGATCAACCCTTTCGTTCCAGTACATACCTGACAGTCGATCTTCTTCATTTACATAGGCTCGAAAGAGGCGGATGAAGTTAGCTGTTGTTGGGGTACCAAAAACCATTGATAATGACATTTTGCTCATGGATAAAACTTTCGGCTTCGACACTGCCGTAGAGGAAGCGCAGAGGGCAATCAACACTGCTTACATCGAGGTTAGTAGCGGATAAATATCATAGTCATCACGAGCTTTGTCCGTGTGAACGTTGTGGAAGCATCTTGCGAAGGAAAATGCCAGCTATATCTGACTTGACTGTTACTGGCATTTTTCAGGCCAACAGTGCTTACAACGGCATTGGAATTGTGAAACTCATGGGCAGACAGAGTGGGTTCATCGCTATGCACGCGTCTCTTGCAAGTGGTCAAGTTGACGTGTGCTTGATTCCTGAGGTAATTGCTCCCCTACAAGTCTAGTCAATTGCATGGTCGACTTAAACTCCACCTTCAGTCTTGACGAGTTGTAATGAAATTGAAGAAAGTTCGAGAAGTGATAGTGTGAGACTGTCACAAACTAAGCCCAAAGACCCCGCTCCCTGTCTGGGCGGTGCCAGCCCCAATGTATAATATGTTGGAGAGTCTTCCCGACCTTGCATAATCTGGGCAGGTTTTGAGCCAGGGTGTTTATGAACCTCCTCGCTTTCGCCACAAACTGTATCGATCATGGCTAGTTGGAGAGATTTTTTTTGAGTCGTTTTCATTTTTGTGCAGGTCCCATTCGCTTTGGACGGAGGGCACGGAGTTTTGCAACACATTCAACACTTGATCGAAGAAAGGGGAAAGGCTGTAATCTGTGTTGCTGAAGGAGCTGGACAGGTAAGAACGACATCCTGTATCAACCTTGTTCGCCCTGCTGCATCATATGAACTTTAGAATCACATGAGATAGTTATACTTTACCCTCTAGTATATATAACCCAGAGTTTATTTCTGAAATGTCAGAAGATGCATCTCCAGTTTCTGCCCACTTATTTCAATGCGTATAGAGATTTGTGTTTTGAAACTTAATATGGTCTTGAATGTTTGTGTCGACAGGATCTTCTACCGGCGAACAACGGCACTGACCCATCAGGGAATCCAATCCTAGGAGATATTGGAACTCACCTTCAGCGAGAGGTCCACTTCTAACTAATTTATTCAAGGATGCATGTTAAATTCTTGGCTATAGAAGCCAAAGGTGCTCGTAGTCATCACTCCGAAACTAAAGATATGGCTGAATGTAATAGGAAAGGAAGATGTGATTGCGGTTTTTCCAGTTGGTTCATCTAATTAATTAAAGTAGTGAATTGTGAGCAGATTAAAAAGTACTTCAAGGCGGCCAACATCACAGTGGATATCAAGTATATTGATCCCACTTACATGATCAGAGCCTGCCGTGCCAACGCCTCTGACGGAATTCTCTGTGCCGTACTTGGCCAGAACGCAGTAAGATCTCCACTCCCTTGTCCTCTCTTGTCCTTACTACGATTCGAAACGCGTTTATTTTGTCATTGCACAAATCAGTCAAGCAGTTTCAAAGATCTAATATCGGCTTCTTCGTTAAGTACTGAAGCCGTGTGAAATTGAGGTATAGGTGGCCCTTGAATGGCTGTATGTCCTCCTACTCTCCAGCACACCGGCCTTACTACATGACATGGTGTATCTCTTCTCGACTGATAATATATATGTTGGAACTCTAGTCGAGTCTGGTTCTCACAAGATACTGTCTCCTGCAGGTTCATGGAGCTTTTGCCGGTTACAGTGGAATCACCGTCGGAATTGCCAACAATCACTACGTATATCTCCCCATCCCTGAGGTTATATCGCATGCCAGAAACGTTGACCCTGACAGCCGCATGTGGCATCGTTGTCTGACTTCCACGGGCCAACCTGATTTCATCGCCAACTCTTCCTAGGCATCGTCATATCGAAGAGCGGCATCTGCAAGCCCCCATCTCTTCTGTATTTTGTGCTGTCAACAGTCGTTCTTATCTTGTTCTATGAGAATATACATATCGAAGAAAAAAAATTTTCCATGTGGAGATAACTCGCACTTGGAATACTAGAGTTTTGAATTCCTGGGTACCTGACGGTCAGAATTTTCCAAGTTCCTTTCTCTCTCAGCTTATCTTACTTTCTCCTCGCTTGAAAGCCGCGGACAGTTGATCGGGCAGCTGGGAAGACTTCATGGAGAGCCACCAGCACCGCAAGAAAAGTTTTGTTTCCTTACACTATTCTCTGGCAGGGAAAGGGGCATCCTTCGAATTGAAGGAAGAGGCCATAGAAGTAGTGCTGCGGAACCTTCTGCCAATTTTGAAAGTGCACCCACACATACCAGCATTCTGCTCCATCATCAGCACCCAGATAGTATACACCACCAACTTAGCTAGGTAAAATACGCAGATGCCATCTTTCCAGAGCCAAGATGGACCTTTTCTGGCCTTATAACAAATCGTCTATTACCATCAGAAACCTGAAATTGGGCTAGCTTTATTGGGAGCATCGACGAGATCCACCATCAACAACACATTTGAGTCACATCTACTTATGCTCTCTCCTCATATAGATATTTGGCGTAGGGTTGTGTTTTTCTCTGTCTGAGGTAGACTGTGTGTTTTATCTTTAGTCAAAAAGTTCAAGCTTTAGCTTCTGAATGTAGTGGACATTTCAACCGTAACGATGGTAAACTTTCTGTTATATCCGTCTTCTGTAGTGATTAGCATAGCAGACCCTTGTATTGTGACTTAGTTAGCCATGCGGTGGATAACTCACGGACATCTTAAAGTTTCCTGAGCCGCTCTTCAACCATAGTCCTTCCAGTAAGACTTTTCTCTGTCCACAAATTTCTACAAGGGAAATTCCCTACCGTTGTACCATACTCCTATCAAATATCGTTGACAGGGGGGAATAAATTTCTGGCTCGCTGAAGTAATGTCAGCAGAATTATCATTTCTCCATATGGCGGATCGAGATCTGCTCTGTGTGTGGTGAACCAATTTGTTTACATTTACAAGGATATTTCAGTGCAGTTGTTGAGAAAGGAAGTGCTGGAGACGAGAGACATGACAAATTGTGTCATCCGACCAATTGGCTGGTCTGTTTCAGTATTCGTGTCGTCATGAGCAACATTTGTCAGAATATGATAGCGCAAACTTGAGTGAGCATGAAACTGCCCCACAACTCTAGGTGAACGTCCGACCTCAATATTCCAGCTAGGTAGCAGAGTATATTTCTTCCAACTTTTATCTCTACTTACCAAGTAATCATGCAGCTCAGTGAGCCGATCTCTCAGCAGTGAGTATGATGATGCACAGCCTTTTAAAAACTAGAATTGTACTTAAATTGGTGCACATGCGCTCTCCAGAAATCGATAAACCCACAGGTACGAACCTTTCACACTCGACAGTGCAACGATGAGATAGCTTCTTTCTGCTTTCAGCAGTTTGGCAGTCTTTTACTCAATTCTGTCGTGAATTATGAGAAGGGAATGTCTGGACTTGGGCCCGTAGAGCCAGCTCTTTGAGGAAAGTAGTCTGCAGACGATCTCTGGTGCTTTCCAAGTATGATTGGCGGTCTGCCATGGACATCAGCGGGGCAAGTTGCAAAAGTCGATTTAGGATCATACCAGGTCGATGTCGGGCTCCGGTTCAGGCTTGTCAGATATTCACTCAGATTCGATTCCAGACGATGGAGCATTCTTGCTGAAGTTGCCGCTGTCAGTGTGTAGTATGTACCGTAGCAGACGAGACCAGTAGTGATTATTGATATACACGTCGGAAACAAGACGGAGAAGACGTTGGGCCGCGCCAACCTGACTCATGCCAGTACGGGACGGTACAGTTGTACCGTACTGTCCTGATGTCAGTCAGAGTGATCGGATGTGGAAATAAGACATTAAGAGGAGGGTTGCAGAAAATAGATTATTTCCCGGGAGGGCCAGGGGAGACTCTTCCCATCTCTTGGCAATCGTGGATCGTAATTGTGCAGGTTTGCCTCATGGCAATACCACGATTTATGTCGTTGACGGCGTTGCGTCAGATATCAAATCCATCATACTGGGCTCAAGTTTGGAGTCAGAACTCCCGGTATGAAGACAACCCGAGTGCAATCTCTTCGGTAATTAATTTGCACACTAATGGAAGCCTCCGGTCAAGATTGTATGTTTATAAATTTACAATCGTAGGGGTAGAATTAGTTTTTGGGGTGTAGAAAAAGTCAATTTATATGACGTAAAGGATTTTCTATGTCACCATAAATAAGACTTGAGGACCTAGCTCTTGGGCGTAGAGAACTAGTTCCACAGTTGCCCCACGCTTTGTAAGAGAGCTGTGGTCTTTACATCAACGCTATGGTTCTTAATTGGCTAGGGATTTAGCAACACCTCCTGATGGAGGAAATCGGTACTAGACCATAAATTGAAATTCTGGTAGAAAAACAGAGTACTAAAACTGCTGTATAAAGATTAATACCCTTACGATACTCCCTGCCGGAAATACAGAAAGGTATATAAAGTGCCTAAGGATACATGTAAATTTTGGGCAATCAGACTCGAAGCAAATATAAGTATCCGGAGCCCATAGTGGGTCAAGAAAATTGCATTCTGAACATGCAGCAAGCGCTCATAATTAGCTCCAAGCTAAACGGACTCTCATATCCAACCTGCCGAATACCATTCGAACCAGCGACCTAGAAATACCTGGATTTTCACCGTAGTCTCCCGCTCTACCAGCTGTGATAAGGTCAATCATGGCAACGAAAATAACCTTAAATATTATAATTCTATCAATGTTTATTCCATCACATGTTACATGAATGATCTTAACAAAGAACTCCAGAAGAGAAAAAATTGGAAGTTATCATTAAATGGAATGTATTTTTGAAGGTTGACACTGGTAATATTTTATGACTATAATCTGCCCTGCCTAACTGCTACCTGCCTAAATGTTTAAACACTATACATGTTTAAGAATATTTACTTCCCAGTTGGGAGTTACTAAAGATGCACTTTAAATGCGTTATATCTGTCATATTAGATGATTTCTCCCAGAGTATATGGATACTCGTGGCTCTGTTACAGTTTACGAAAGTTTAACGGTATGTATGTTCAAAGCGTACACATCCTCGTCTGTTTTCCAATATAAAACACCCATCATTCATAATCATGAAATTGAATGTGGAAATACTTGTTGAATCCTCTCCCTAAAGCGACGTGTTAAGAAGTTCCAAACTTGTCGGCCATTTCTAGATTGATCCATTATTCATCCTCTTTCTTCACACACGACGTTGTGGTAATACCCATAGCATTTATCAAAACACTTGTAATCTTTACGACTATTATAACGTTATCACTTGAGTCTGCATATGCTTTCTTTATCTGATTTATTTAATAAATTCATGTGACAATTTTTGGTTGATTTGATAATTAGTCTAATCTGCGAGCTTCACATTTAAGTTTTAGATGGAAGGACTTAATGACTACTTCTATTGGGCCCATAAAATACGATGAGAAATGATAATATATACTAGCGCATATCATGGAGAACTGTTTCATTTGAGAATGCCATGGTATACAATTTCATGGTTTTTTATCTCCACTCCCATATCTAGTGTACACCAGATTCGAAACTGAGACTTGGAGGTTCAGATCTTTAGGTTAAACGTTTTCATCCGTTTCTTGACAAACTATTGAGATACAGAATCGACAGCGAGCAATTTCAGTTCATATCTCACTGCGAATACATCATAGTTTGGATTTGTACAGTAAATAGAACACCAACGAGTGTTCTATTTCCTGTACAAATGCATCTACACACTTGGAGTCGAAGATCGTTCCAAGTAGCAATATGCATGAATCATTCGCCATCAAAACCTAGTTTCAATGCTTCAAGAATAAAAAGAGAATCGTCTAATTTAAATTTATGGGAATGAAAAGAATTATCTACGATGATATAATCAGTGAGAAATTGTCGATACAGTTGTTGGTGATGTACTTTTAAAATGCATTCATGAAAATTTTAAAAATGGAAGGTATTTATAACACTGAGGAAAACGAAGAGCATCACTTCACCCTCAATAAGATTGACACAATGTCACATCTTCTGTTCATCATTCGCTTTAGCCTTATCTTCTCTACACTGTTCGTTCCCAACCTTTACGTCCTTTGGAAGTGGTGAGTGGTGATCCTTTTATGTACCTTTCTTCCACAGTACTCGTAATGTTTTTCATTTATTTCCCTTTTGGTTGTCGTCATGATTCACTGGTTTCGTGCCTTGTTGTCATTCATGTGCCTTTTCGTTTCTCTTCATGATTTAGATGTCTCGTCACACGTTGGTTACAAAAGGAGCAAAGGTCTTCCAATAAAAGAAGAGAGAAAAAGGTCATTTTGAAGTCCAAAAGGAAAAAATGATATACTTGTTTGTAGTTCATTTTATATCTTGCTAGAGTTTTGTCTTCCATATGTCTTATAACATGTCATGCACATACATATTGCATCTTTAACGACATCAAACATCACAATCATAGATTATCATACACCAACATGAATGTACCATAATCTTTTTTACTCTCAATGAGTCCACAAGGATATTTAGCATATAACTATATCTTAAAAGAAAGATGATAGGTTAGCCAAATCCACTTTGAGCTTAAAAAATGAACTCTACCCCTTGAGTCATTAGTCTCCAAACATCACTGCCAATGCAAACGGCTCTAATTGCTATATCTACTCCTACTTGCATGCACCTATCTAACTAACTAAGGGTGTCATTACATAAGTTGTGATAGATGTCGTGCACATACATATCACATCAAACATCACAATATATAGATTGTCATACACCAACACAAGTGTACCATAATCACCCCGCTAATTGAATGTTAGGTAACAAATTTTAGATTTTTACCTCTTTCAAAATAATGATTTTTCTTCAATTATTTATTATATTTCTTTGATTTTATCATCCATAGTTTTTTTCAAATAATTTTTTTATTTATTATTATATTTTAAATAGAAATTTTCTAATTTTTTTTTCTTTTTAAAAATTATTAAAATTTTCAAATTTGAAATTTTATTTTTAGAGTTGAATGTGAATACAATGATTTTCTTAATAATTTTTTAACATCATATTTTAACGTATTAATTTAAAAATTTTATCAATTTTTTTTGAAGTTTTATTTTAATTATTAAACTCTATTTTAAAAATATTTGTATGATGTTTATTATTATGATGATCATGCAATTTAAATCATGATGCATAATAATATTCATTCATTCTTAGCTTTGTTATGTTGTAGATCTTGTGATCTTGCATTACTCATTTTCTCACATTCATGCTTATATTCTTGCTCTTTTGTTCAATCTCAAGCTATCATCTAGGGTGAAAAGTTTTCATATGCTCTTTTGTAACGGGTCAATTTTTCTGGTTCTGAGCTTTGAATACTTTCATTGTTGCCACCTTATGTAATATCAAAAGCTGACAGTGGTATTTGATTTCAAGTAGATTTTAGATTTTTCACAAGCTTGAGATTGTTGTATTTTTGCTCTATGTTATAGACATTGCTACTTGTTGATTTTATTGCTCAAAGATACAAACTTGTGATGTACTCCAAATTAATCGGCATAGACAAGGTTGTCAAATTGACTGATATTTTGTTGATTTGCTTGTGGAGATTAAGATGTTCACAAATTAATATATATAGAGAAACTCAAAGTGATTGATTGAGATAGACATTTGTATATAGAGTTCGCATGAAGTTCAAGATAGCTATAGCAAATATGAAAGTTAAATTAACTAGATATTTCAATTGAATCGATGAGTAAGTCCACTGAGTGGCGATTTCGAAGCTATTTTGCTCGTTTCGTTTGTTTTCTCTGGGTTCGTTATGGCGGTTGGGATGATGGGAATTGGAATGGCTGCTTCTGGCAGTCTCAGTCCCGGTCCCTCGCGTGTACACCTACTTTCGCCTAAAGGGAAGACAAGAAAGATGTTCTCATTTAAACGAGAGGAGGAGATTGATCTTATTCAAATGGACGGTGAGGCCAAAGCAGTTCTCCCGCGGCCAGTCAGAGATGAAAAAGGAGGGTCAAAATACAGGAGAGACAACAAGTTTTTGCAGGGCATTCTTTGTGCTATCTTCGTTGGCGTTTCAAATGGAAGCTTCCTCGTTGCTGCAAGTAGATATAATTATCAACATGAAATATGTAAAATAAAGGTTGATATTCAACTCCTCCTATGCTAGAATAGGACAAAATATCTCTATGTTGAGCAATATCTAGGTTATCAAAAGTCAAATAATCTAAATCTTTAAGACAAAATAGTTTCAGAAACCTCCACGCTTTATGTCTTTTTCTCCTATCAATTTGGAACTAATCTCAATATACCAAATCTCCTCTTTATCAACACTAGAGGTTGCTCAACAACAACCTCTTGAGCAAGAACTTCTTATGCTCTCTCGTACAAAGCTCCACTAACTCGGTATGAACAACTCTAGCTAGTTACTCTTTGGCATTATATATTTATATTTTCTTAATTTTTGGACATGTTTTATTATAGTTCAGAACTAACTTCTAAAGCTTTGTCATAAAGTTTGGTAATGGATACAAAGTAGATGTCACGATCTTCTTGAGGCTAGATAAGTTGAGATATTACACATCTCCTTATGAATAATTTGACTTTAATAATTTGATTGTCTTTTTTAATTCTCTACATCTTGCAAATATTTCCTTAAACATATATTATTTGTTATTTTAGTGGGATTTTAATATCTTCGACTCTATTTTGGACCCTTGATCATCAAAATTTTATAATTTTGATATCTGATTCTATGCTTGATAAATATAGTTAGCTTAATCTTTTTTATATATTTTATGATCTTTCCAGATTTTACATAAAATAGACACTATATAATAATCTTATATCATGATGATTCTATTTTTTATTATAAAATTTTGAAACAACAATTCTTGAACTTTAATTACTTCTGTTCAAAATCTTTTTCATGAATATCAATCTTAAACACTAACGTCATTATAAACATTATTCCGCTTGGTTAATTTTTTGTAGCACTTTTGCCCTCCAAATTCTTGATTCAAAAATAAATTATGAATTCAAAAAAATAAAAAAATAAAATCAATCCAACAAATTTTAAATTACTTCTACATCATGATTGCCATCATGATCTTCACTTCATCAACATCCTTCATACTCAACAACAATGAGATAAAAAATATCATCGATCAAAACTAACCTAAAGACCTTCAACACTCCAATAACTCACATTTCTCACCACAAAATCAAATTATAGTTTTTGATATAATTTTTTTTGACGAACAATATAAAAAAGTACTCTCAAAATATCAACAAGGACATTCCCATCATAACCATAACATAAAAAAGATATTATATTTAACCTAAATACACTTCAAAGAATCATGGTTCATACACTAGCTTGTTCCAACATTGGCACACTCTACTCAACTTTGAAAACTAATTTAAACTCTATCCCTTTGAGTCATAGATTTCCCAATTGCGCTATCAGCAATTAACTAATTTAAACTCTATCCAATGCAGTTAGCGATGTACGGATATGGACGTTTACATTGAATGTGCAAATTGGGTAAATTGCACTATTGGCTCTACCTACGCGCCTCTACTTAGTTAGGTAGAGGCACGCTATATAAGTTGTGATAAACACAATTATATTAAATCACTTTCATTAATTTGAGCCGGTGATTAGAGTTGATAACGGGTAAACCGTAACGTTCATAGCAAGTGTAATCTTATACAATAATTCTAGATTTCGACATCCTGCAACCGCCTAGCAACATATCACGGTAGGTGGTGATTTGGAAGAGGATCGGATTTGAATTAAATACTTTTTGTGTGAACATCAAAAGAACATAGTCATAGAATGGACTTCAGTCTAGTTCTAATTTACTCATAAATTCATAATGTCATGGTTGGCTTTTGATGAGGAGGAGGTCGTGTAGTGACTAAACCTTGGAAGATAGGAGCCGCTGTTGGTATACACTAATAAAAGGGAGCAGTCCTCAGTATGTCTAGATTAGTGACTGAAAATGTGAAAGATGAATTCCATGACCATGCCGACACAATGCTACACCATTTTTCTCTCAAGATTTCAGGGATGTACATTTAAGTGAAATGTTATCGTTTTATGATATTGAATTGCTTCAGGTGCAGAGATAACCTTCGATTAAGGGGACGTTTCGCGGGCGAGTCTTGCTTTTCATATGCACATTAGTCAAAAACCCATCTCTATTCCGACCAGCCGGATTCAAACCAGGGACCTAGAGGTGGTTCTACTTTTCCACAGTCTCCCGATCTACCAACTAAGCTAAGGTCGGAAATACTCCAATGACTTTCAAAAATTTCCTTAATATTTCTTGTCGTTGTCACCATTCGCCATTTGTATAACTCTTTTTGATAACAGATAAATAGACATATTAATATGATTCTAATTTTTTCGTCACTGTTTCTCTCTAAAGAACGTGGAACTAAGATGTATTGTTTTTGAAGTTGAGGTAGTTTCATAAAAGAAGCATAGAATTTTAGTTCATTCATGTAAAAAGAAAATGAAAAATGTAACATAAATCAAAGGTTAAAACTATAGATTAATATTTATAGTTTAAGCCTTTGATATATATCAATTTCATATTTTTCTTTAGGAGACCTCAAATATCTAGATTGAAAGTTATCACCCACATAGAAGTTGATTTGGTGATCACGTTGAAAAATAAGAAATGGAAAAAGGGAAGAGATGGATTATCAAACATTATGAAAATAATTAATAGCGGTTCAAAGTAAAAACCAACAAAGGTTAGAGGACATCCCTCGAGTACACCCATCTTGAGGTTTGGACTCAAGGATCAAATTCTGGATCTAAGCTCCATAGTTTATCATAGACCCATGACTGAACATAAGGCGTATGTTTGAGATATAAGAACCCAACTTTGACCCAAGGGATAGAGGGTACCTAAGGATCTAAGTCCGACCTAAGATCCTATCTGAACTCAAGATCATCTTGGATCTAAAAGCTAAATCTAGAAAAATACACCGGAAGTGCGGGCCTAATGGGGCAAACCAATAAACAACAAAGAAAGTATAATAACAAAAGGGAAAACCCGTGGGGCAAACACATGTCAAGGACTCTGAACCATAGGGAAAGTCCGCCCAAGTCACAAAATGACTTGCTCATGTTGGAGTTTTATGGGAATCATCTTAAGTGTAGACTAAGAGTAAAAACATAAGTCATAATAATAATAATAATAATCAAATGAAACATGAACTCTGACCCTAAATTCCAAGTGTGTGATCTTGCATGTTGGTGTTGATTATACTAGAGTAAAGTTATGCTATGTTGAAGACTTATGCGTTATAAATGCGCAATAATGGACGAATCATCTCTCTTTTCAACTTGCATTTTCCCTAGCAATGAAATTGTACGGTGGTATTAGATGTGAACATGTACCATCGCTCTAGGCCAAACCTCATTATCATTCTCCATAACAATGTTTTTTGTATTGTGTTCTCTTTTGATATTAAATATAAGGTATATCATTGCTTTCTCTAAACTGCATGTTCATTCTTCCTGGCAAAGCTTATGCTCTCGAGAGGTACCATGTGTAGCTATCCTCTAGCACCATGCTAAAAATGAGAAACTATTATAAGAATTCTACAAAGTCAAATACCTTTACATGATTGTGCATCAAAACATCAAGATGGAAAATAAAAGTTGAAGAGTACAAAGTTCATATGGCTTAATAAAAATATGACAAATATTTTTTAAGTCAATAATAAAGTTTAAGATGTTATGCAAAGGATTTTTATGCCGAGCTAGTGCCACTCTCCAAAAGAAAAACAAAGTGAAGACCCATGGAATTAAAAATCCAATGAAAACTCATGGACTCAAGTCTAAAGCAAAAGCCAAAGCAAGCTAAAAAAGATCCAACCCAAGGACCAAAGGAAAAGTGAAGAGCTAATCTCTCTCAAAATAAATCATTATCTTTATATATGAGATATATATATATATATATATATAAATATAAAGATTACTATGACTTAGAAATCATATGTTACAAAGTCCGCATAGATTTGTTATTGAGATTCATCTTGGATTTGTGGTTCTAAAGAGAGACATGACTATAATGAGTACATGGAAATTTTATCCAAAATGAGGAAGAGATTATCATTGTAGGATCTTTGTGCATATTGTAGCTCTCTTAGGTCTCACCTTTTTCTCATGAGGTATTGTTTCATAAAATACTATTTTCAATTCTAGAAATATATCTTCATTCCACTTGTCTTGAAAATACACTGAGTGCATGGACAAGATATGGATAGTTTTGTTAATAATTGTGCTTGATTTTATTATGATGTATCGGTACATATTTACTATTGTATTATTACATCCATTATTTTAGACAGCGTATATACATAGCATATACAATGTGCTTTAGCCTCTGTTATTGAGAGAATATAACTGTTTATTGTTATCTTATTGCATCCATTATTTTAGACTTCGTATATGTATAACATATACAACGTGCTTTAGCCTCTGTCATTGAGAGAAAGATAACTTTGAATGATGATGTTTGATTGAGATCCCATGTTATCACCCGAACTGACAATTTGCATGTAGAAGACATCATTTATCATTATTTTATTGCATCCAATAGTTTAGATTGTGTATATACATAACATATATAACGTACTTTAGCCTCTACCTTTGAGAGAAAGATAGCTTTGATTGTTGATTGTTGATTGTAGATCCCATGTTTTCATCCGTATTGACAATCTGCATGTAGGAGACATTAGAGGTACCGTTGGAGACATAGTGATTTTTCAAAGAAAAGGAGAGAAATTAGCTCTCTTCTTTTCTTTTGATCCTCGGGTTGAATTTTTCTTGATCACTTTGTACCTTAGTCGATGTGATACCTTTTATTCCATGCGTCTCGCTCTCTTTTTGACCTTCTTGTTGTTCTTAAAGATGGTTTTTTTAGGAGTTTATATGTAGGTCACTATAAAATATTTTGAAACTGGTATATAGGATCAATTCATTTCGTTTCTAGTTTTGGTATCGTACATACTCTTAGCATTTAGATGATAAATTATCAAATAATAATAATCATATTAAGTAAAAGAAATAATATAATATTAATTCAATGCAATTAAAATCAACTAAAAGTATTAATCACATTATCCCCTTTCTTCCTTTTGCTTGTGTTTTGACAAGAGCCTTCATTATTCAAGGTAACAAGTAATAATATTTCTCAATTTTTTATGTACTTTGTGCACCATTTTTTATTTTTCGCTACAAAATAGAGAGTACAAATGAAGAACGGAATGTAAAGATACGTTTCCTTACGTTAGAAATTAATTTAACCAAGATATAGTCATGGAGCAATTGAGTTGTTTTTTTTCAAATTTTTAAGGAAAATCAAGTAATATAGCAAAAAGGATGGGAAGATCCCATCAAGTCGTACATGGATGAAACCAAAGTGGTAGGATGGGGCTATGCTCCAATAGCATGAGAATGCAAAATATGTCATATTGTTCAAACTATCTAGATCAAACGGTATTCAGATACTTGTACTCTATATACTACAAGAGCATCCTAAGAAGCATCACCTAACATGATTGCTCGCCTATGGATTGCACCAGCTAGTGCTTTATGTAGAACAATGGATACGAGCTCTCTAAAGTAGGCTACACAATATGCTTAAGAAAGTCATACACATGTCACATAGTATGGTAGACTTTCTCTCACACTCTTTCACTAATGTGTGGAAGTGGGAGTCTATAGCTCTTTATAACTCCAAGGCTAACCATATAACTTTCAAATATGACTTTCAGAATGGGTACACTTGAAGACTTTCATCAAATTGCAATTCACACAACCTCTAAATCTCGAATATTGTAAATTCTGCGCCATGACTGCCGTGTGGTAAATCAGGTGTCTAGTCAAAGGGAGGGCCATGAAAAGCTTGTAGCAGGTATATACTTTTAAAACACTCACGGTACTTCGTTATTCCCGTGCTGCTCCCTCACCATCTCTCATCTCGACTCAAGAAACTCTGATGAGTGGGGCCCTTTGACCGGCTGAGAGAGGACTATTTCGCTCTAGGGGCTGTTGTTTTTATCCACTGCTTCCAACTGCGCCAATTGGTGGCCTTTTCGGTGGAAAATACAGTGTCGAGACCAGAAGAATCGAACGGTGGCAATCGCCTCATTGTTGCTCACAAGCGAAACTTTATCGTCGCCCCGATGAGCGTCCCAGACTCCCATTCGCAACGGAAGACAACGTCCACCGACGGTGGAAAGTCCACGACTGCGTTCGCTACAATGGTAAGAATCCCAACGATGCCTGTAACCCGTTTGCCTCCGGGTTAGTCAAGCGGTGGAGCTTCAGTGTACCGTAGTAGTAGTCGTCGTGGTCCAAGAGAGACGGGTCGGGAAAGGAAAGAGCTGCGAATAATGATGAGGTTGCCACGTGAGAAGACAACAGGAAGAGCCAGCCGCGCCAGCCGCGGCTGGCGTTGCGGAGCGGATGATGAAAAAGGTTCAAAGCAAAGAGAGAGACGAAGAAGAGGAAGACGACGACGAAAGCCAAACGGAACGAAAGAAGAGGGAGAGAGAGAGAGAAAGAGACGTTCAGAGAACTGGACGAGAGAAACGAGGAAAGCGAGACAGAGCAGCGCAGCGCTGTGCTGCAGCGTCACCCACCTCCTTTGCCCCGCCTACCTTCCCCGCCACCTCTCTCTGCCTTTCCCTCCCAACCCTCGTCCTCCTCTTCCGTGTCGGTCGTACTCTCATGCTCCGCTCCTCGTAATTCCTTTCTCCCTCCTCACTTCGTTTTCTTTCTTCCCCCACACTACCTCGTCCTCCGCCTCACTCCACTGTTTTCATTCGTCCGTCCGCCCGGGCTTTCTTTCGCTCGCGAGATCCTGCAGGTCGTTGGAGGCTCGGGGAGAGACAGAGCTTGCAGTTTTTTCGGCGAGAATTTGTATATTTTTTTATTTGGTTTTGGTGAAGCAGTCTGCAGAGAGGAGGGCAATGTAGGAATGTGAGGAAGGGATTTATGAGGTGGAGGAATTTATGAGAGCTGCAGTTTTCGCCGAGTGAGTCAGCGAAGGTCGGCGAGAAGGAGGGGAGGGGCAGCTGTGGGAATTGAGGAGGTTGAGTTGGGGGCGACGACATGTGGCTGGCAGCAGGAGAGGGAGGCTGCAGTGGGTGTGTGATTGGAGGGATAGTTTGGTAGTGGGTTCTGTTTTGCGCGTAGGAAGGTGCTGGGAGATTCAGATTTCTGGAAGGTTGAAGGAAATTGTAGCGGGTAGAAGGGATTTGT